CTGCGCGCGAGTCTTGAAACAGCCTCCTTAGCTGCTCTGACTCCAACGAACTTTTTAACTTTAAGCAATCACGGTTATGCAGTTAAGTGCACCATGACGAATAATCGCAAGTGGCTGCCCACACCTACCAAACGGGCCACAAGTGTAACTTTGCAGCCACAAAGGTAATCGCCCATGTCGGAAGCAGGACAAGTCGAGAGTTGACTGAAGTCTGGGCCTTAGACGGGGACTCGGTCAATCGATATATCGATTTGGCGCCGGCATACGGAGACCTGCGTAACCATCTCCACGCCTGTGTCATTGCTCCTTGATTGGCACACACACACACACACACCCTCTATAACTTTCGCCCGTTCTTTTGCTGTTTTTTATCGCTGACGCTGGACTCTTACACGAGTTCGAAAGCCCAGACATACAAATTGTTTCTGCGCCCCACCAGTCTTCCTCCGCTTTTCCTATGCTATGACCAGTCCCATAGGCGCGCGAGCAAGTTGCTAAAGCTGACACTAGTCCCTCGCGGGTGACTGGTATTGAATCCATAGCTGGGTTCCCGTAACTGGATCAGGTTTAGACAGTTCCGTTTTTAGTGCTGCCAGAAACAGTCACCAGTTTGCATAAAATGGCGTTAACATTTGAAAACAGACATACTTTGCGACGTCGGTAGTGGTAAAGGCTGATAGACTAGGATAGTTTTATCATCTACAGAATGTGGGCTAACTTATGAATGTCAACTGAAATTCCGAAATGCGTTTTCCTTTCGAAAAGATTGATTAAGTAGGGTTGTAAAACTAATCATCATACAGCATAATTCTATAATAATTCAGTTACCTAAGGATACCGGCTTTCGAATGAACTTCTTTCCGGCTGCATGCAAAAAAACTATACTCTGCAATAATGACTACTTATGTAGCGTGCATTTTTCCCATTTATTTTCGATGCCCTTCAAAATTCAATTATATTTGATAGGAAACATGTATGCAAATATTCATTCATTTGCTTAATCGGTAGAAAATGACGTCTTCTTCCAATTTTATACCCGATGGAAGGGCATAATTCGGTTTTTAAAAAGTTTCTAGTTGTGAGATTTTGTAACGCCGTGAAATGGTCATTCATAAAACGTCATGTCTCTGCATCTACCAATGTGGATTATAAAGTTAACAATATTGCTCAAATCCACTGCTAAATTTTATGAATCCCATATAGTTTCCTCTTAATACCGTAGAGAAATGTACGGTTTTCCGTGCGCGGAAAATATACAGCTTGTAGGTTGAAGACCCTGAATGCAAGTGTACCGGCAGGTCGGGTTCAAATTTATTTGGGCATAGAAAAAGTTTTTGAAAACCGGATTATACCCTTCCATCAAGTATAAAATTAGAAGAAGACGTCATTTTCTACCAACTGAGCATAAGAATGGATATTTGCATGCATGTTTTAGATGAAATATAATTAAATTTTAAGGGCATCTGAAATCAGTGAGAAAAATGCATGCTGCATAAGCAGTCATTTTACAGAGTACGGTTTTTTGCATGCAGCCGGAAAGAAGTTCATTCGAAAGCCGGTATCCTTAGGTAACTGAATTATTATAGAATTATGCTGTATGATGATTAGTTTTACAACCCTACTTAAATAGTCTTTTCGAAACGAAAACGCATTTCGGAATTTCAGTTGGCATTTCATGAGTTACCCCACCTACTGTACATATTCAAACAATACATTATACTGTCCCAAAAACCTTCCAGTGTTTGGGGATATATGTAACTTAATCCGCACCCATTGATTGCACGCCTAATTGTAGGTTTGCTCACCCAAGCATAATTTATTTCGAGGCAGTCGCCCGGACTTCGAAATCCGGTAGCGGAATTAAATTACAAACGAATCTGTCTGGTGCAGCTTGTATCGGGACGAAACGATAATAAACAGAACTCGATACCGCCTGAGAGCATGAAGCCTAGACTATGTGAGGCATTGACCGCAATCCTTAAAACCGTTTTGAAATAACAGTGGTCGTCTAAGTGCGATGCCAAAACTGTGTTGGCTGATAGTCTCTGCGGTCATCTGAGTTAATCGGGCTTGGAAAAAATAGCTAATTGCGAAATGGGGAATTTTAATTGTTTTTTTCCACGTAAATGAATTTCGTTCTACCTCCTTAAAATTGTAAGAAGATATATATGGTTGACCGATTTTTAATTTCAAATCAGACCTATGTTCTTCCTTTTCCCCAGCCATCAAAATGCGTGTTACATATTTTTATAAAGGAAGTTCATATTATCTCTCTACATCCCCAGGAAGATGCCTCCTGTGAGCATCAAATATTGCAATTAACTTGGATCATGTAACATACTTTGTAAGCAGTGTTAATAAAACTGTGCATACTTGGCTGCAAGATTGACCGTGTTAGGGCCTTAAAAAGTCCATAAACAAGAACTCTTAAAAAGTTACAATTATTTTTTTCAAATAGGAAAGTTGAAAGAGATGTATCCTTTTATAAAACATGTTTACATTTGGAACTCCTGCTTGCCGACTCTATGAAGCATCATTTACTCTATATAGGCTCTGAAAATCAATGAAAACGTCCACACTACTCAATTTGCGTTTTTACCCAGCAGGAATAAATTCGATGATCGGAAAGTTTCTTAATAAAAATTCAACATATTACCCATTATGCGTTCCATACTTATCAGTTTTTCAGGGTCGCATTTTACATGTTAAAATATATTTAGATATTTCAGTCCGAGTTTCAAGAGTTTTGGATCCTGCTGCATGCCTTCATTGATGTTCGGTAGGAAAATCTGTTACGCGCAGGACCTGATGACGGTGATTAGAGTAACTTAAAGGCCGCCGAAGTAAGATGTAGCTTTGTCTTTCGTTGAAATGACTGAATTGAAGGGCATCAATGAATTTCTGTTTACTTGACATAGTAATCTTTGAGGGGAACACTGAGTTGAAAGGCCTTTAGTCGACTTACCATGACGTCACTTGCGAGAGGGCTTGATAGTCCTTTTTATGTGGCATCCCGTCTGTTTGCGAAGTTTACTCAGTAAAGGAAATTTTTTATATCGTCACTGTTAAACTACACCGATCGTCCTCAGGGCCTCCAACATTGATATGCGATGATAAGTCGAGCAAAACTAATATCGGAGAAGAACAAATGACAGATCAACTCGCGGTTGATAAGCCTCACAGAAACTCAAGGTACCCTTAAAACCTCAGTCTTCTGAAACAGAGATGTGGTCGATAAGCAGGTGGCGAGGGTGCCACTTCACGACATTGACGTTTCTGTATGCCGAACACCTCAGTATAGGTCACTTTATTGACAAATACCTTTCCTCTATTCAAGTGGATGTAATCTAAAACAGGACGAAGGAATGATAAGAACTGGTTTGGAATGATGTTTGGGACAAAATATGCTTTCAACAAAGTTAACATTTCCGTCCGACAAATTATGTATAAATGGAAAGAAGGAGAAGAAGAAAAAGAAGAAGAAGAAGAAGAAGAAGAAGAAGAAGAAGAAGAAGAAGAAGAAGAAGAAGAAGAAGAAGAAGAAGAAGAAGAAGAAGAAGAAGAAGGAACGGGGCCATGATCCAAAGGCGCAGAGCAAGAACAGTTTCGACTGATAAAACTACCGAAAGAGAACACATCTGTTCCTTGCTTTTATTTTTGAATTTCATGATCCTGTTAACCAAGGTGACTTGGACTTCTGACCACCATGAACTCATGGCTTACAGTCGACTTTTCAGGCACCCCGATAATTTCACAACGTGTTACATTCTCTCCTTCGTCAAGGCTACATTTTGCTCCAGTCAGTGCGTGGGGATCGCTCTTACACTCTGCTGTTACCATTGGGCTTGCCGTTGGACGTGTTTTACCCGTCGTGTCTGCCGTCTTGGGCGAGAGTTGCGTGTTACTCTACCCCTGTCATTCGCGACTGCGTGCAAGATGTTGGGTTGTCTAATAAGTCTTTGTGGTTTTCTTTGCATATTCATATGAACGAGGTTTTATATGATACCTTCGTCGTCATCGAATGTTATCAGGTGCTAACGTTCAAAGAACGTTTCAACAACGTCTCCTTGAGCATGCAATTTACGATGGAGGAAGAATAAAGCAGCCAGTTGGCCATACACGATGCACTCATCTGCTAAAACTACCCAATCAGCCACAAACGCAGTTGCGTAAGGACGCTACATTGACGTGTTTAGACGCGCTGTAGTGAACCGGAAGGCAAGATTGCCGAGTTTCAATATCTTCGACAGGTGTTCATAAAAAAATTGTGACCCGCGCAACTTCATCAGCCAGTGCATGCGCAAACGAAACAAGCAAAAAAATCGCGCCGACTTCATATTTACTGAGTGATTCCGCACATCAAGAATGTCTCAGAGGCCGTCAGCCGCTTTCTGGCACTAGTTGAGTTTGGAGTTGCACACAGGCCGGAGGTAATCATCAGGCGTCAGTTAATGAAACCAAAAGACCAACTGCCACGGTAAGAAGCTGCCAGAGTCATTTATGAGATCTGGTGCAGTCCTGGACAAAGCAACTACGTTAGAGATACTGGAAGAGTGTTCCGGACGCGAATTGTCAAACATGCGGCAGCAGTGCGGGGAAGTGACGTTAACTCCCATGTCGCGGTTGATTTGACGACACCCGGCCTCACATGCAAGTTGAATGAGCCCGAAATTCTCGTGAGAGGTGATAATTGCGCAAGCCGGAAGTTGTTCGAATCATGTTCAACATGGCCCCAGTCTATTAACAAGTTCAGTAACCTCCACACCCCATGTTTGTTGGTGAGACTTGGTCTTGCCTCTCGGGGAGTGCGCAGACGGCCGAGCGTAACTAATAAGGCCAATGGAAAGCTGCAGTCGCTCTCAGTATCCGAGGTGGCTTCCTGAGGATGTTACCTTCCCTTTTAAACTTAACTATCAGTCAACAGACGCTGCAGATCAGCGTCAAAACCCTGACTTCTCCAATGACACACAGGAACGACGAGAAGGGCAAATTACACGAGTCTCTGTAGTTTCTTCTCGTGTCATTATCGAAGACGGACAGACTAACTATTCACAGAAAAAACGAAACACATAGTTAAACAGATCACGTCATTTGCAAGGGAAGGCTTGGTAGCATTTGAATGGCAAATACCATAACGACGAACATTCCTAAAGACCATGGTCGAACACAATCTCATCACTACCAACACAGCAGTTCACCATCCAAAACTGAGGAGGACGACGCTTAACTAGGAAGCCGAACGCCTAGACCCAGTCCTGAAGGATGAAGATTCTAAGAACAAATGAGACACTCTGAGGGACATCATCTTCAACAGCCCTATGAAAGTCCTCGGGTCTGCGTGTCGAAGACACCAGGGCTGTTTCGGCGACAGCTATGGGGAGCTTCACCAGCTTCGCAGGAACGGCGCAAACATAACCTTTTCAAATGAGACCTACATAGTTCTCACAGTACTGACGGCGAATGCATGAGACGTTGTGAGCCGCGCAGAGTAGGTGTTCGAACTCCAGGTGGAAGAACTTCAGGGATATATCGATCGTGATAAAGTGCAAATCTTTTTTTGTAATCAGCAAACCGGACTGCGTCTTCTGAGCTAACGAAACTTCGCTGCTGTTCAGTCCAGACGGACAGCACAGATCCCGCTTTTGCGGACTTCTTTGGTTTCGTAGCTAAAAAATGTTAAAAGTCAACAGTTATCACTGCTCGCATTCGAACTGTTTTGTCCCGAGAATAAAACTCTAAGTGCTGAAGAGGACTGCAATTCTTTGGAGAAGCTTCGACGCATCTGCAGTGCGCATGCGGTCCTTCGACGATGGAAGGGTATTAATTATACCATTCAGAACTATTCCTCTGAAGTGAAAGACTTCAAAAAGCAACTGTGCTGGATGATGCACTTGCAATTCTATAAGGGGAAAGCTGTTCAGCTAACGAAAGACCTAACGAATGAACGGCGATGTATGGTATTTTTATCAAGGCCGGGTTTGAGGAAACTTGCTCCGTATCTAGTCTTCCTAGTGTCTATGTTTCAAATACACGTTAAAAGCTTAAATTTGTGCAGTCTAAATGATGCAATTTAAACTGCTAAATATAATGGGTAGTTTT